GATGGGTTTTTTTTTTGGGGGGGGGGGGGGCGGGGTGTCTATTCTGGCTTTTTCCATTATGGGCACGCAGTACTGTCAGGTTCATGAACATGCAGGGATGTTGGCAATCTCTGGCCTTTGAAATACCCCTATGAAATGTATGGTTAGTCTCTTGCCCCTCCTGTGAACAATTGCCCCGCCCCCTTAGCCCCAGCTACTTGCCCATCCATACCTGCACGGTACCACCCATTAGCTCGGGAGAGAAGTTGGTTGTCAGGCGTTCACACAACCTCCCCCCCCCCCCCCCCCCTGTTCCCGTCACTGGACCCTGAATGCCGCTCACGCCTCATTGCCTCCTGGGCCCGATCTCAGCCTCTTCAGAAAGGATAATGGGCCCCCGAGGCGCCGGCGCGAACAGACTCGCTCTGTTTGTGTTCCCCCAGCCGCCCGCTGCGCTGCCCCCACCCTCCCCCTCGCCGTCTTACTCCCCTGGCACAAATATTTTCCCTCTTCCCGGCGCTCCGCGGCTCGCGGTTGACCGAGTGTCCTCGGAAGGCCCTCTGCAATCAAGATATCAGCCGTGCTCGTGGCACCCGTGTGTTTGCGAGAGTCCCGTCCGTCTCCCTGCAGTCCTCACGCTTACTCCCGCACTCATATCGACGTGTAATTGCGGTGAAAGCCCCGCCTCCACGCCGGTCCCACTCCATTCTCCACATAATTGCTTGCAGCCAACCACACGTGAAGCGCGGCTGTCCTCGGGAACGTCTTTGTTAGCGAGGCCGCCGTCTCATTAGCCCCGGGGCCTGCGAGACGCCTCCCCCGCCATGGGGACGACTGTAGTGCCTGGGTGGCAGATCCACGGGGGGGTGGGGGAGGGCGGTGCTCTGTCTTACGCAAGCTCGTGAAAAGGGGTAAGAGTGAGATGAGCGAGGGGTACGGATTGTGTGAACCGAAATGGGAAATTCGGACAGGGTGTCGGAGGTTAGGATGGCCTCCCGTGGGGGGAGGGGCAGTCAGAGAAGCTGACAGCCCTGTGACTAGTTGTTTTGCTTTTATGGCATTTTTCTGACATTCACATGGGGTGTAGAGGATGCGTCAGGTGTTGACAGGGAGGTGATGAAAAGCTGTCTTGCAAAACAATTGTTTTAACCTGGCGTGTGGTGATTTTTGGACTGAGTCTGTGGGGGTGGGGGTCGGGTTACTGGTCACAGGAAAAGGGTCTGCTGTCAGAAGCTGAGCTCTCAGATTTTAAAAAGGAATAGAAGTGTGGTCTGTTTCCTCCTCCTTGCGCGTTGGGTCCCGAGGCTCTGCCGGAGGATAGGCAGTGGCCTGTGACGAGGGGATGCGGCCCAGTGGTTCAGGGGACAGACTGTGACGATGACGCAGTGGGCCTAGAGAGCTGTTAGCGGAGTGCTGCTCTCGTCCCTGTGGATTTCTGGGGGGGGGAAATCTGAGGTCAGCTTCCCAAAATGTCGTGCCTTCCTGATGCCCTACTGTCTTCCTCTGCCTGGGGTGGAGGGGGTGCATTGCATCAGCCTCAAAAGCCCAGCCCTTGCCTCAGTTTGTCACGTTTTGGTTTTGTTTCATCGACTCTGAGCCGTGGGGGGAGGGGGAGTTGTTCTGGGTGAATGCTTTAGATCGCAAGTTTTGATTGAATGCGGTTGAATTTGTCTCCTATGTATTTTCTTCCCCTTTCATTTTCCCAGAATGCACTTGTGAGTTTCACGGTCTCGGCACAAATTTTTACAGTGAGTGCTCCAACACGCCTGCGCTCGGCAGCGGTTTAAGGAACGCTTTCAATTCGCTTTTCAGTGCCGTCAGCTTCACAGCCGTTAGGCGGCTCGGCCTCAGATTTGCCTCGCATTTCAGACCGTCTGGTCACTGTACTTGAAGTGATGCTTGAGACTCTGCCTGGCTAAAGCAGGGCCTGAGCCTTAAGATTAGGAGAGCACATCCTTAACTGCCACGACACCTAGTGGCAGCTTTATTCCTTCTTTCTGCAGGCCAATGAGAACAGCCTTCTGAGCGCCCAGCTGAAGGGCTTCCCCCTGTTTTTGCATTCGAACCTGGGTCTGAGGGACTGTAGCGTGAACCCCAAGTCACCCCTCCTCTTCATCACCCGGGCCCGGGAGGTGGAGCGTGGCCCGTTACCCGGCGACGACTGGACCGTGTTCCAGTCCAACCACTCCACCTATGAGCCGGTTCTGCTGGCCAAGACCAAGTCGGCAGACAGCCTGCCGGCTCTGGGCCTCAGCCCCGCCCTGCACACCTCCGTGGTGCAGGATCTCGGCCTCCACGATGGCATACAGCGCGTCCTCTTCGGGAACAACCTCAGCTTCTGGCTGCACAAGCTCGTCTTCGTGGACGCCGTGTCCTTCCTGACGGCCAAGCGCCTCTCGCTCTCCCTGGACCGCTACCTGCTAGTGGACATCGACGACATCTTCGTCGGCAAGGAGGGCACGCGCATGAAGGTGTCCGACGTTGAGGTATACATTCGCCGATACGTCTCGCCGTTGCTTCCGTCAAGTGAATGCGATCAAACATGGTTCCACTATTGCAACAGAATAGATTAATACTGCTACCTCTCAATAGCGGACTCCATTACAAATGCTTGTGGTGGATCACCACGACAACACAACTAATTAACTGATTATTATGATGTAAATAAGTAGTTGTGGCCAGTATGAGTTGGACAGAAACGGGGCAGGTGACAGCTTTCTGCTGTACTCTTCTTCCTCTGATCCATCACTTTGAGTGTCTTGAGAAAAGACGCATGTTCTTTCATGCCGAACAAGGATACAGAAAACCTGTTCACTATATATATATATATATATATATATATATCTATATCTTTTGATCAACAGTTATCTCGACTAGTAGAATTACCTGTCAGCAAAATCAGCGGAGTTTCAAGCTCACTCTAAACTTTCTCTTCCCTGAGCTGCTGCCCAACAGGATTTTACATCACCCGAGAGCATGAATATTTCAGAGGCACAAAACTTTCTTTCCGCTTTTGATTTTTAACAACCTGACGCTAATAATTCAGGAGGATGGGAATAGAACAGGAAAAAAAAAAACAAAAAAAATCCGACGACAGTCAACCGGCGTTACACATGACTCATGAAAGGAACTGAAAATAAAGATGGGGGGTGGGGGGGAAACAGGGCTTCATGTTCAGGTGAAAATGAACAGGCAGACTGGGAACAGAAATAGGCGCCACTGGGGATTGACAGGGGATTTGTTACCTTAGCTACACAGGAATGGTGTAAGTGCCTCTTTGTATGATGTCATTGACCCCCTGCCCCCGTCCCTAAAGGCCCTACTTCAGACCCAGAATGACCTCCGGGATTACGTGCCTAATTTCACCTTCAATCTGGGCTACTCAGGGAAGTTCTTTCATGCTGGTGAGTGACGGGGCCGTCTGGGAACCGCGTTCGTACTACAGTTCCTATTATACGTTACTATTAAGGTACAGAAACGCTCCAAGTGGCTAGTTTTCCGGACGTTCCCAGAACGTCATCCCTCTACTATAACTACTACAACAACTAAGACTAATAATGTAGAAGCAAAGGAAGGAAGCAGCGAGTGGCGCGTCAGCGGTCATGGGTTCGAGGCTGGAATGTAGAGCGCTTTCCTAAACTATTTTTCAACATTAACTGCGTTAAAAGGATGTTAAGGTAATAATGTTATGGTGTTGACATACAGTAAGAAGATTCTCTACCGTCACATAACCTTCGCTAAAGTTCTGGGAATGTTCTCTAATAGCTGAGATAATTCCTCTGTCTACCAGTTTCGAGTCCCTTTAGAGTATCTGTATTTGGAGCAGAGTGCGGTGTCTTCTGCGGGATATTTGGAACGTCTGGTGGTTCAACATGCGGAAGAATAATGAACGTGAGAACACGATATATATATAAGGCCATACAATGATTTTCGATGTCGCATAATTAGTAGGAATCTGAATATTTGAGCGCAAATGTGTAATGAAGTCTTAGACTACTTTTCTGCACATCACAGATCAGGTCCCTACAGCTGTTGGGAATGAGATGTAAAATAAGCAAAAGCAGTTGACTTGTATGTGCATATGATATGACAGCGTTACCTGCTTGTGTGTGTGTGGTGTCACCCAGGCACTGACGAGGAGGACCTGGGGGACGACCTGCTCCTGTCCTACGCCGGCCAGTTCTGGTGGTTCCCCCACATGTGGAGCCACATGCAGCCACACCTCTTTCATAACCAGACCGTGTTGGCCGAGCAGATGCTACTCAATAAGAGGTTTGCCACAGTAAGTGGGCGTGTCTCTGGGCTGGGGGCGGGGCGAGGGCTCCCTCAGCCAATCAGTGTCATGCAAGCTTGTTTGAACTTCCTGCTGAGAAAACTACAACCATATTACAAAATAATCAGTGGGCTGGGGGCGGGGCGAGGGCTCCCTCAGCCAATCAGTGTCATGCAAGCTTGTTTGAACTTCCTGCTGAGAAAACTACAACCATATTACAAAATAATCAGTGCTGAGGGAGTATGGCTTAGGATCACATCGTATTCCTCTACCTACCCCCATAGGAACATGGTATCCCCACCAACATGGGTTACGCTGTGGCCCCCCACCACTCGGGGGTGTACCCTGTTCACGTGCAGCTGTATGATGCCTGGAAGAAGGTGTGGGGTATCCGGGTGACCAGCACGGAGGAGTACCCACACCTCAAACCTGCACGCTTCCGGCGCGGGTTCATTCACAGAGGCATCAGCGTAAGGACGCCCGAGCCTCTCTGGGCAAATTACCGGGCCGTATCGACCAACAGCTGCAAACTCATTTATTCCATATGTTGATATGTTGTTTCAAATCGTAACCTTGACAAAACAAGTGCTTCAATAAATCCAATAGAATAGAATAGAATAGAGTGTCACAGTACATTTCCATTACAATGAAATCTCCCGTGCTTGAAATGTCATTCTTGTGTTTCTATAATGATCCCAGGAGTGAGCATTTCACATGTTTAGTGGGACTTTCTGGGACTTCTGACATTTTTACCTGCAGTCGTTCACCAAGAGAATGTAGGAGGGTGGAACATCTGACCATCAGGCAGTTTACTCAAACAGCCGTGCAGAACACAATTCAGACAGGCTTTCAGATTTCTCATAAGCCTGGAGTGCACCACAGAGCCCCCAAACATCAGTCTCCAGATAGGGTTCAGCTTTTCTCTTGGACCTCCATAGATTGCATCTCTGTAATAAAGACCACATATCCTGGGCCGATGTACAGTATCTGCCCTGCGATCGAAAGCGGGGACGTAGGAATCCACTTCTGATGTTCTAAGCTCACATATCTGCTAACATCAAAGTCCTGAGAGGTGCGAGCTGCCGTGGAGCAAAGATTGAGCATGTGTGGCAGTCTAAGACGAGGCAGGTGGAGAAGAAAATGGGAGGAGGGACTGCAGATGCGAAGCATGTCGTTTTGCGAGTGTGTTCAGAGATCCCGAGTTTTTGGGCAACACTTTCTGAATGTTGGGTGTTTCTTAGTCTTTGTAAGACTTGTTAGCACTGCGTCCCGTAAGGCTTGGTGCCTCCCCCCCCCCGTTCTGCAGGTACTGCCCAGGCAGACATGCGGCCTCTTCACCCATACCATCTTCCACAGCGAGTACCCGGGGGGGCCGAAGGAGCTGGACCGGCTGATTAATGGCGGCGAGCTTTTCCTCACCATCCTGCTCAACCCCGTGAGTGGCACAGTACCTGCGTTTGGACCAGAGGCGATCCTAGGGTCTGTTGGGGCCCCAAGCAAAAATTCACTGGGGGCCCCCCCTCTAACCAGTTTTTGTCATCATTTTAATAAATGATCGCCATCTAGTGGCTTGGGGGCCCCAAGCAGCTGCCTGCCCTGCCTGCTGACAAGATGCACCTCTGGTTTGGACCACAGTGCCCTGACTTGATTTTAAAATATTATCACTCGTGTACAAAGCACTAAGTGGTTATGAAGCAACAGTGTGGAAGATGAATGAAAAAAGATTGATTGTTAGAAGGTAAAATGACCCTGGATCTCAGGCAATTTGTAAGAATCTTAACAGCGGAGAATCAAAGGTGTCTCTGACTGTAATCACAGATCAGCGTCTTTATGACCCACCTGTCGAATTACGGGAATGACCGGCTGGGCCTGTACACCTTCAAGAACCTGGTGAAGTTCATCCAGACCTGGAGCAACCTGAAGCTACAGACTCTACCGCCTGTGCAGCTGGCCCAGAGGTACTTCCAGATCTTTCCACAGGAGAGAGACCCCATCTGGCAGGTGAGAATCACTGAGAACAACGATTGCTTGATTTAAAAAAAACTGGCCAAAGGTCAAACCAGTCTGCTTTATCTGGAGAGCAGCCTGCTGAGTGGAAAAATGTTTCTTTTTCTCTGAACATGATAGTTGTTTTCAGATGAATTCTTGCCTGTTTGAGTAGAATGGGAACCATCTTACCTTCTGCATGTGTCTTGGTGGTAGAGTTGTTCCCATTTTGGACTTCCATTCTCTGCACAGCCTTTACTATACATTAAGAAAAATGAAAGCAGCCATATTTGTTATTTACAGTACTTAGTCTCTCAAAGTCAGTTGCACGGTATTTTTCTCAGATGGAATAAAATTAGGGAGACATCTGTACGGCAGAAGAACAGGCGTGATGTTTTGCTGCATTACGTAACTTCAATCGGTTAATATCGCTGTATTAATCAGAGCGCCTGATCACACCATATTAACCTGGAAAGCTGTTTATCAGGCAGCAGATGGTGGGCCTGCACAGGCAGAAGATTTCATCATTTAGTCTCGATGTAAAGGACAAGAACGTTCTGTATTGTCCCCATAATTTGCAAACCCTGTAGTACTGCATGCAAATTTTTAGTGTAGTAACGTCCTTTTTTGATTACCCTTAGAGGACGTCTGATATTGAGCGCTGTTTAGGTTGGATTCAGTGTAAATTATGATAAATGTAAGACATTTATAACGGTATGAAATTTCAGATTATTAGAAATTCCAACTAGGATTAAACTATAAAACGCGCAAGTTAATTTCCAGTGTTTTCAGTCTATTGCCTGCTTCCTGTGACCATGTTGTGATTTAAGGAGTAATACAGTTACTTTATCTTAATTTTTGTGTTCTCTAGGGCACTGAGGTATTTTTTCTCAGACAAAGTCTGCTGGGAAGCATGATTTCAGGGGCTGAAATCCAACACTGATGGCTTCCATCTCTAACCCTGCCAGCTCTTTCCTACAGGATCCCTGTGAGGACAAAAGGCACAAAGATATCTGGTCCAAGGAGAAGACATGTGACCGATTCCCAAAGCTGCTCATCATCGGACCCCAGAAAACAGGTCAGGAAGGGTTACCTCCCACTGCAAACAGATGTCCCCCCCCTGCTCTCAGGGCTGAGGCCTGTCATTGCCATGTCATGTGACCGGAAGTCTCATCAGAGCCCAAACCATTAATTCTAATCAGCAACTATTACTTCATGAATCTTGATTGGTAGCATGATTCATACATCACACCAACCACGTACGCTTAGTGGCACATTTCTAAAACTCCTTAACTTTCCTTTGTTTCTTCTCTTTTACCTTTTTCCCCACAGGTACCACTGCTCTTTACCTGTTTCTGGCCATGCACCCTGACATGACCAGCAACTACCCCAGCAAGGAGACCTTTGAGGAGATCCAGTTCTTCAATGGCCACAACTACCATAAAGGAATCGACTGGTGTGTTTTTCTATGATTTGACATTCCATCCATCCAACCATCAGTCCATCCAATCATCCAGCATCAATCCATCCATGAATCCATCCATCCATCATCCTTTCAACCATGACTCCATCCAATCATCCAACATCAATTCCTCCATGAATCCATCCATCATCCATCGATCCATCCATCAGTCCATTCAATCATCCAGCATCAATCCAGCCATGAATCCATTCATCCATCCATCTCCATACTGGGTGATCTTGCAGCTTATCCTAGGAAGCTCAAGGCAGGGGAATCCCCTGAAGGAGGGCCAGACTGTCACAGGGGACACTCACACACACATAATGAATAACTTATAAACATTGTTACATCCAATGGGATATAAACACACTCTGATTTGTCATCAGGATGGCCATTCTGATATTACAGGCATTCAGTGAATCGTTACAGTTGTTCCCCATAATGCAGAGTGCCTCTGCTCAAACATCAGTATAAAAATAAGAGCTGGAGTCTAATCTTCTTTCTTATCTAAATGTAGCGCTGATTGTTGTGTGCCCTCTTTGCGCACTTTATTAGTGCTGTTTACTGCTCATCTTGGTGATGTTTGAGGCAGTTTTATTCCAAAAGAGGAGAAGGCTAATCAGCTTCCGTGTAAACACGCGCGTAATGATTTAAAACCAGCGGACATGCTAAGGAGAGGGCCTCCAGCCAGCCCTCCCAGCTCGGTATTTTTTAACTCCCTATTCTCTTGTTGCCTGAGGTGAATATGTAAATGAGAACGGACCTAAATTATACACGTGTATTAGGCCTATATTTGACAGGTCTCTACTCACAACTGTCATAGTTAACGTGGTCTTGTGAAGTCAATTAAAATACCGTGTTACGTGCTGCGCGAATTACGAACATCACCTTTCGACAATTAAAAGATGTAAAATTACCTATTTGAAGCTCATCAGTATAAATACGCATTCCTTACATTTGTAATAAATAGCGGCATGACCTACCTGCATTTTGACGAGTGACGTAAGTCACAAGTTGTGACAGGAATCACAATTAACTGCAGGAAATGCAATTTCATATTAAATTAGGTGACACAGCTGACTAATGGCACGCGGCTGCCAGACTGCGCGGATTTTCGCTTAATTTCATTGACTGATGGTGTCTCGCGCGCTTTATACTGAGGTCTGATTAAGCGCGCGGGCGTCGGCAGCCGCCCGGTCTCGCGCGTCTCGCTTTCCCGTCCGGTGCGTTAGTCACGCGTCGTGTTACCGCGAGCTGGCGGCGCGCGACACGCTCCGCGGAGACACTGCGAGCCGCCTGTCCTCAGGCGCCCGTCTCCGCTCTCTCTGATTAAATCTGAACAGCCTGCGATCGCAGAGCGTCCGGATTATCTCCGCTATTATGGCGTCGATCCGCCGTCAGAGCCGGATCTCTGTAATGACAGGCCCTGCCGCGCCAGGTTTAGTTCTCTTTTCTAAGGTTTTTCTCCGATGGTCAGCCAGCATCTCTCACCATCAAACACCCGCCTTATTGCCATTCATTGTTCAACAGAGGCTTGTGTCCAAAGTGACATCCAAGTGAGGAAAACATGTCAACCAGCCTCCAGCACTCATACAGCATGTAGGCTAATGCTGGGTTACTTTCAGTGTCATTTACTCTGCTAGTCATGGGATTCGAACCCATGACCGCTAGACATGGGCAGAGATACCTATGTTATAAATCTACACACCATACACAAATAATGAGACAAGAAGATACATTGCTCACAGAAAGTTTTAGGCTGCATGCTTAATTCTGTAATAATGTTAAGAATTTAACAAAAGTCTATTGCCAAGCAATGTCTAACATATCTGTATACATATACATTTTCTCTTTATTGTGTGTCATTTTTTTTGACTGACCCATTCAGCTCTGTTCTTGCCGTTTTGCTATTAATTGCAATTGTAGTCACTGGCTACCAAAATGATACTAAACACAAATGTTTGGTGTTTTATGTTATTGCAAAGGTATTACTAATTAAAAAGTCCCCAATGAGACTGCCTGACAATCAACTTTATAACTCAGAATGGCCTCTTTAAGAACTATAAACAAATTAATAAAGTAATGATCTTCAGTGTAAAAGCAATAGATTTGCAATAAGCAGGCGTCTCAAGGCTTTCTAGGAGCACTACATAAGATTAACACAAAGTGCCTAAATCCAGTCACAGTACTGACACTAATTCTGCAGGTGCTGTAACGTGACCAGTGCTCATGACTGCCCCCTGCAGGTACATGGAACACTTTCCACTGCCCTCTAACACCAGCTCCGACTTCTACTTTGAGAAGAGTGCAAACTACTTTGACTCGGAGGTGACGTCGAGGCGGGCGGCGGCCCTGCTACCCAAGGCCAAAATCATCACCATCCTCATCAGCCCGGCAGACCGGGCCTATTCCTGGTACCAGGTACGCCTCTCACGCATCACTGACTCCCTGACTACCAGCTGAAATGCGGAGGTGAGTTCCTCTGGGATTTCCGGCGACGACAACGGTCTCCCCATTTCCCTGACAGCACCAACGGGCCCATGGCGATCCCGCAGCCTTGAAGTACACTTTCCATGAAGTCATCACGGCAGCTCGTCACGCCCCGCTCAAACTGCGCATCCTGCAGAACCGCTGCTTGGTTCCGGGCTGGTACGCCACCCATCTGGAGCGCTGGTTCAACCACTACCATCCCAGTCAGGTGACCGTCTCCAAGTTCAATGTGGTCGAGGTCTGGAGGCCACGTGCATTGAATTAATTGCCTCTTACAGTCACTTACACGTGGACGGTCTTCTCTCTGTCTTCAGATCATGGTTCTTGATGGTCAAAGGCTGAGAAGTGAGCCTGCATCCGTGATGGATAAAATCCAGAAGTTTCTCGGTCTGGTGAACACTGTAAATTACCACAAGATTCTGACGTGAGTACTGACCTACTCTGGGTAGAACTTGTCCAAAGTGATGAGTCCCTGACCAAGTTCTCACAGCAGAAATTCTGATCTTCACCAATTATGACACCGAATTCAGAACTTACTCAGGACCAGCACTTACAGACACTTGCATGCAAGTTTTATCCATCCCCAATCTCCAGTGGCTGCTTTAGCTGCTCTGTGTTAAAAAAAAAAAAAAAAACAGTTTATAAACCCAAGAACTACTGAAATATTCAATAGTTCTGGGAAGGTTTCAGTTTGTAAAAACAGTTGACAGTGGCAAGCGCAAGACAGACCATTAAAAAGGTATCAGTGTTTTAACCCAGTGGAAATCAGACCTAAAGTACACATAAATACTTTTAATCTTAATGTCTCTGTCTCCGCAATGGAAACTCCATAATCCTTAGGACAAAGACTGTTTGTTTGAGGTACCATCAGTCTGCTGGAGTTTTTTTTCTCCTGGAAGTACAACAACAACAAATTTATTTTTGTATAGCGCATTATCACAACATTACATCGTCCCAAAGCGCTTTACAGCATCCCCACCCAAAGCCCCCAGTGAGTAAGCCATAGGCGACAGTGAAGAAACCTTGGGAGGGACCAGACTCAAAGGGGGGAGCTCATCCTCCAGGGGCCGGCAGGGAGAGTCAAACACAGTAAATTTTACAGTAAATAAAGTATTTTGTATGCTAGATGTGGCGAGGCTGACGAACAGCGTGTGCAATTGTCATGAGATTTCCTAAAGTGATTGGAAGCTAAATCTTTCTGCCACGTGGATTTTGACCACATAACTAAACATCTACCAAATCATCTACTGATCACCTCTGCGGTGGGTGTTCAGAGGGTCGTCTCCTGTCAGATCTCGCACCAAAAGAAATGCTGTCCTCTTCTCTTCACCCCCCCCCGCCCCTGCCGATTCCCAGATTTGATCCCAAGAAAGGATTCTGGTGTCAACTGTTGGATGGGGGCAAGACCAAGTGCCTGGGAAAGAGTAAAGGCAGGAAGTACCCAGACATGGACTCCGATGTAAGTCAAGGCCGCTCTGCCTCTCGTCCACAAACACCCCTCCTGAGAAAGCAAGTGCAAACTCTCTTTCATATATTATCTTGAGTCTCTTAAAAATATATTAGGTTTTTAAAAAAATCGCTCTACGAAGCTGTAATAATTTGAATTATGGAAATAGATTTTAATATCACATAGAAACCTACAAGTGTTATTCTATGATTTGCACTGGACTGACTGACTGTAGGAAGCACAGGTGATGTATCGAGACCATTTGCACCCTATTTCATCCGCCAGTGTATCCTCTGTGCTGTTAGAGCACGGTGTAGAGGGCCAGACAGCGCGGTCGTGCCCTCGACGTTACACTGCTTGGCAGGGATATCACAGCTAATTAACAGGGAGGCCACTTGACAGTGTTACATATTTCCCCGGGATTAGGGATGGGGGGATATGTGTGATGTAACAAGGTTTCAAGCCCTTTCTTTAATGTACCTTTAATACGGCAATGTATTTTTTTCCAATTTTGTTTTAAGTGAACCCGCTGAAATTGTCTCTGAACAATGTAGCACGTCAGTATCTGCAAGGGGTGTCATTGGGGCAGTTTAGGGGGGGACTTTACCCCCTAGATAAATGTACACCTATTACAGGCAGTCCCCGAGTTACGAACATCTGACTTACGGGCAACTTGTACTTACGAACGAACTACCATACAGCCTATTATATTAAAAATTCAGCTTAAATATGATGGTTCGTAATAAAGAACAGACATGCTACTTTGTGAAAACATTGCGCGGCTTCAGCAGCTTGTTGGCTCAGGGTACAGTACAGTACCGTATGTTACTTTTGTTATTACTGCAATTATTATGCACTGTATTGTTATTTTTCAGACTTGGCTACGAATAAGACTTAAAGACAGACTTAGGGAACGGATCCACTTCTTGACCTGGGGACTGTAGTGTAAACAGTGTGTCCTCATTCATCTTCATTAAAATCAGACACCCCTGGTAAAAGCTTAGCCCCCCCTTTTCATAAATCTCTAGCGACGCTCCTGCCGTCTGCTAAGAGTTTATGTGTGAGACCAGAGAGATTCTCGCCCTGCTGTTCGTTCCTCAGCCTGTGTGGTTTGGGAGCGTTAATCGCTCTGTTCTCTCTGCCCTGAAGTCGCGATCCTTCCTGACGGAATACTACAGGGAGCACAACATCGAGCTTTCCAAGCTGCTCTACAAGACGGGTCAGGCTCTGCCCAGCTGGCTCCGTGAGGAGCTGGTCAACGGCAGGTAGCGGGGCCGCTGCGGATGGCTGGAAGAGAGGGCGGCTCGGCGGAGAGCAGCAGGAGGCCGGGGAGGCGATCTCCCCTGGACCCGGGACCCAACGCGCCGCGGCACACGGACCAGGAGGCGGGGAGGCGCCGTCACGGGGCCCACGAGAGGCTGCCGGTCACTCTCGGTTTGCCGTAGGCTCCGGGAGGGAGAACCCGAAAGGGGAGAGACGCATGGTCCACTGGGATTCTGGATGGGGCTTTGGAAAGAATGCCAAATCCCCCCCCCCCCACACCCACCCCATGACCCTTCCCCAATGCTACGCTCTAAGAGAGGCCCCTGGCAGTATCTGTGAAAAAGGGGGCCCGGGGTAGGGGGGGGTACTTATCTGAAATACAGTACGTGGTGCAGCAGGGAGTAAAAGACCAGTGCTTTGGCCCCCCCCCCCAACCCCCCCCCCCCACACCCACCCCAAAAAAAACACAAGGACCCACAGTGGCATGGGCAGGTAGCACAGAGGGGGCTGATATTTATATTTCTTAACAGTGACAACAGTATTCCTTCCATTTCCATCAGGCAGGGAGGCAAACATGCACATGCACATAGATAAGCCCAAGACCACTCCAGTCCCTAACTATATAAGCATTAACACACTTACAAGTTCCAGGTTGGGGAGCTCATTCCAGTTTTCTGTAAATGACTGTGACTCTGTTACTATCAAAGTTGTTTCATTTTATTTGTGGATTGCAACTGCTTAATGAATAATATTCATGTAACTTTATGTAAAAAAATGTATATATGCTGGGTTTATTTTTACCCGTACTTGTGCAGATAGATTGTGGGAGTTTTACTTACACAAAAATGTTCTGAGGTGAATGAATATTGATTGGTTCAGAGAGATAACCAATCAGATTGCAGTGGAGGCAGAACCATGCAACTAGACAAGCCAGGACTAAGACATCTGATTAGTTGGTCCCGCCTCCTCTACAATCTGATTGGTTATCTCTCTGAACCAATCACTTTTCGTTCTGCCCTCAGCATTTTCGTGTAGGCAAAACTCCCAAGAGCATTCAGATAGCTGTAATGGCTCCTTTGATCTGGACATGATGGACTATTAAATACAGAGAGAGGAGTTCATAGTAAATGGCAGTGCTATAGAGAAACAGCTTAGAGGGTGATGGATAGCCCCACACTGCACTTTGTGGTGACCTTGATGCGCATTTGAAAACCTGAAGTTGCCTTAACTTCTCTGCACTGTCAGTAATTCAGGCCCGGTGGTCACAGCCATAGGGTAAGATGTGGAATCTCAGTCTATCGAAACTCACCATGAGATGACTGCACAAAGCTCAAAGAGACATCTGAGAAACCACGCCGTCACTGTCACGGGGTCACATGGCGGATAAGGGGAATCCGATTCGCTCCTCGCCAATTTGGGGACATTCCCCTGGATTGTGGAGCGTTGCGTTTTTAGAATGTGGCAGTGCCCTATATTTTCTGTGTAGCTGAGCTTGTGGGGCATTTATTTACCTACATCACTCCGTTAAGTGATGTGATTCAGCCCGGCCAGCTGCCCTATCCAGCAGCCCTGACTGGGAGCAGTGGGTGACAGCTTTAACTTACTTTCTCTGCAGAAGGATGAAAATAACCCACGTTTAATGGCCAACAAACGGCATTGCATCCATTTTTAACATGATTAAGTTCTAATCGTCCTCTAATGGATTTGCTTGCACAGTAAACAGGCACTTTTATTTAACTATTTAGTTTACAAGGCCTATAGCTCAAATGTGATACCACTACATTGTTGCGAAAAATCAGAGATGATTAAACAGTGGAATATAGATGATCTATGCAAAAGGGAAATATGCTTTACGTAATCAGTATCATTTTAATAAATGAGAAGATATTAGGTGGTCTAATAGAATAGATGGCCAGTCGTACAATTAACAAGTAAAAGTCACAGAGCAGGGGATTGTGGGATTCCTCCTGGCGATGTAAGCCAGCCCAGAGCGATTTAGGCCAAGACATAAAGAATGTAGTGAGTACTGATGATTGTATGTCTTTGTTCTACCTTTAAATTGTCTTTGCTCTCTGACATTTTGTTTTCCGAAAAAGTAAAATGAACTCCTCGCTTCTCTTCATGAAGTTTATTCCTCGTCTGAAGCTCGATGAATGTAATCAAATCATGTCTTTTATTATTATTATTTTTTTAGAAGCCTTTAGTCAATGAGGAATGAATTGTTCCTCCTGAGATCCAATAAAGCAAATCCCACAGGGGGTGACATGAAAGGATAGCAGACATGATGGAGCACCTGCATGGACTGTGAGACACAGGGAGAAACCGTGGGTTTTTATACATTCAGAAAATAGATATAATAGCACATGTCAAGCCTGTCGGACATTATTAACTACTATAATTAACAATGCACTAGTCTGCACAAAACACTACAACAGATAAACCTTCCTGCATTTCCTCAGACATATGAAACCAATGCTCAAGCAATTTCCTGTGCTGTCTATCCACAACTGGGTGGAGATTTTGTTTTTTTTTGTGCAGGTACAGTATGATGGTCATGGCAACAAGCTTTTATTTCAGACCATTTCTCAGTTCTCACGCCAAGCATCACACCATCACTTCTGTGTTCAGTCACCGGTTGCAGACGAGTTCACTCGTAAGGTTTAAAAGCACTTTCGCCGCTTGGAGACCCCAGAGATGCATGTTTACAGGAATGAGTGGATATGAGATGTAAATTATTTGAAGAAATTCCAAACATAACCAGTGTAGTTTAAAAGTGGCCATTATTGAACATTTTTTTTATTTGGACTTTTTTATTGTTATAATAAACAGAAATTCTAATTTAGCCCCATACTGTGAAATAAAGTTAGAAATTTAACTTCCATTACACCCTTTATCCCGTATTTAAGTTTGCAAAACTGAAAGCACAGTGGACTATGAAAAAAGCACATGGCCAGAGAGACGATTAAATTTATACCACACCTGAAAAAAAAATTAAATGAAAATTACTCTTTTTGAATTAAATCTCAAAATATAACTGGGGTTTCTCTGTTCCGGCTGTACTCAAAGAGCCAGTGAGTTTCGCAGTGCCTGTACTGCTTTCACCCCAACTGCAGTCATGATAAGTATTGATAAAGAACAGTAATGATAACACAAAGTCACTGGAATAATAAATGAACTGTACATACATACTATGATTGTTGTTAATATTTCTATTGTGTAGCTAATATTTTTGTGGACTTAATTTACAAATAAAAATCGCTGTCTAAGTTAGTTTGTCATTTTTCATTTGGACACTGGTACAGGTGGTGAAACAAGCCTACTTACATTCCGCATTGTCATGGATAGCTGTTATTTAATCTAGCCTATGTAGCGCAAATAAAACACACAGCACATTGACTAATTCTTCTTCACTGATAACAGGAATATGCAGCCTTTAAGGTAAGGAGCATGCACTGATTACAGTGTGTAAGGAGCATGCACTGATTACAGTGTGTAAGGAGCATGCACTGATTACAGTGTGTCACTGCACCCACCACATGACAAACCAGCTCAGGGATGAGAACCTGAGTGCAGCCGTGTGGTGGGTGATACCTCAGCATCACACTAGCCTGAATGGACCAGTGTGAGTTTTTTCCAGTGGCTGGAGTGTCAATCCTGCCACCAACCCTCACGTTCTTCCCTGGGAGTTGGAGGACCTCCTTATAGGGCTGGATGTAGATTAATATCACACCCAGGATGAAGCAATTGTAGGTTAAGAACCTTGCTCAAGGGCCCAATGGAGTAGGATCACTCCAGGCATTCACGGGATTCGAACCAGCAACCTTGTAGTTGCATGGCACAGATCCCCAGCCTCAGAACCATCACTCCACCAATATGCAGCCTTTGTATGTTCCTTAATGCAACTATACCTGCAAATCAAATTAATATGCATCTCTATAGAAAATGGCTACTGGACTGATGGGAAAAATAGCTTGGACTAGAGGTAAACTGTTTATCTCCTAACTGCATGAAAACAACCTAGTTCTGAATATATGATGGACAGATAAAAGAAGTTATAAATACATTGTGATAATTGCTTTGTTGCTATTGGAGGCTGAATTTCATTTCAAATTCCATCTGATGTATAGTCACCAATGTGGCTGTTATTATTATAAATGGCATTTTATATCGTCTCATTTAGGTATTCAAAAAAAATAAATGAATAAAACTGCAGAACTACAAAGCGTGTAAAGAAAGCACACATGCATAAATACCGCATTCATTTGTTCAATACGTTTTTTAAATTGGCTTTTGGTGCTCCTTTGTTATGGTTCAAATTTTGCGTTTATACAATAGCTTAATCATAACTGTGGAGTGCAGTATTCTAATGAATACAACGTACACACTGATTTTAACGTAACAGGGATTCGTTTTGAAGCACGATTCATTATTAAACAAAATAGCGAGCGACTTAACTATAAGTTCTCATCGATTACTTCAGCTGTTTTATCCAACATTATTACCACGTACAGTAATCCCATATAAACTTTTCGCTGTGACAAACCACGTGTTACTTGGCCGGAAGTGGATTGTGACCTTTCACCTCTGTTCCCATTGGCTCGCTCTTTCCTGTCTCGGCGGCTGGTGCGGACTAGTGCGGGTATTCATTCTCCCATTCGGCATCCAGCTCAATCTACCCGTTTATTCTACCGCCGGTGTTCGCCGTTTGCCTTGTGTCGGCGTCTCTCTCATAGTTTTATAAGACGCGATGATTATTTTTTTTTTCGGCCGTACAGTGGCTTTCTGATGCCACAGTAGCTCGTACATATGTCTGTAGTAGCCGTCATGTTTGGGTCCCTCCCATTTAAATAAAATGTGACGTAATAAAATGTGTCCCAAGTTCCGATTTTGTCTGTAATACGTTTAGCGTCGTTTTGTATCAGTTTGCTTTGCATGCCCAGCGTTAACCCTACTTGCATTAGCAACCTGCTTTGATAGCGGTACTCAAATGCTGTAAACGTAGACAGGAACGTAAAATAACACATTAATTAAGGCGCTTTCTGCGCATGCAAGCTCGCCTCGCTGAACTAACAGCTGATTATAACATTTGTCAGTTTGTGCAGCTGTTAAATGAAAGTTGCCCATCCACACATATTATTAAAGTATATACATACTGATACCAGCACGGGAGTTTATTTACAAGCCGACAGCGGTGACTAATAGTTTACGAGTTTGATTTATGTGTTTTTTTCGTGTTTTTAGCAATGGCTCCTCGCAAGGGTAAAGAAAAGAAGGAAGAACAGGTCAT